TGACGTCTCCGTTTCCTGCTGCAGGTCTCTCTGCTGACCTCCTGAGCTCCTCACCTGCTCCGGTCTGCATGACCTTCACCATCAGGTAAACTGTTTAACTTTTAACCACAGCTTAATTCTGATTATTTTTCCAACATAAGCTTCATGTAAATGCATTTAAGGGATAATTAATCCAGCAACAGTCCGACATGTTGAGCAGTAATGACTGATTACAACAACATAATTATCTTTAAGTTTCTGTCCTCGTTTGTTTGTAACAAACTGACTGAATGGCGTCTAAATGAGTTCACTGATACGTTTAAAGGTAAATTCTTGCTGTAGGTCACTGCTGGGTGCAGATGTTTTATTGTATTGTGCCAATAATGAAACACGACTGAAACTTCTGCTTCCTGTTTGGTTCTCATCTGTGAGTGAACAAGATACTGATGATAAAACATTATCACACAGCACAAGCAGACGTGTGCTTTGTGGAGCATCTTGGAGGCTAAACGGTTAAATGAAGTCACAGTACGAGAGACTTCAGATGCATTCAGCTCAGACAAGCTCTGAAACATCAGCAGCTGCATCTACACCTGGTTCCCTCCTTCAGGAACTGGATGTCTGCTGCAAGTTGAAAACAACTCTTATTCACTAAACATTTCACTTACAGATGAATACACAGACAACAGAAGTCTATATGACCTTGATGATCAACAAACTGAACGGCTGATCCAATATGCCGAGACCCCAGAAGTCAAAGGTAACGTTCTGCACTGTGATGATATTTTGCTCACGTTAACATTTAGTGTCATGAATCTCATTAATGCAGATCCATGCTGTTACAGGTGAACATCTTCTAAAATGATGATATTAATATAGAAAAAAGACATCTAATTGAAAAATATTGTATTTATTAAGAAAACACTAATTAGGAAGCAGCTGATTCTCCTGTTCAAGTACGTTAATTAAAGTCTTCTACTGATCAGATATGATCTGTTCCATGGATTGTACTTTCAGCGTCTGCTCAAACTTTAACTTGACTGTGAACTTGCATTAAGTGGTATCTGCAGAGTCATCAGGGCCATGAAGGAGATTCAGCTCAGATAAGGATGACTCTGAATTGTTCAGACATGTGATGAGTGGACGTCCTTTCATTCTGCATCAACATGCATTTGAGCATCCAAACAGTGTTTTTCTGGCTCAACAGATTGGATGAGAACATAAACATATTTAATCCTGTGAAATGAGACAAAAAGACAAAGACTTTGTAAACACCTGTGATTTCTTGTACTTTCTTGACTAAACACTGATTAACAATGAAATATTGATGTTCATGTGCAGGTTCCACCATCCACAAGTCATACAGGTGAGATATGAAGTATCTGAATAACCACAGAATATTCAGAATAACTCTACTGAGAAGTTTACTTCTGGGAGATCTGACTTTGTTCTTATTAAAAAATCCAATCAGGAAAGAGAAAGTCAGATCTTCAGGGTGAGTCCACTGAAGGGCAATCACCCCAGAAACAACCACAGGAAAATGGACCACAACCAGACAGAGGTAAGTGATTTCTTAGTGAACAATGGCAACCAACGGATGGCTTCTGGCTGAAACTTCTCTGCAGTGTGTTTTTCTTGTGCACCAATCAACTGTTCCCAGCTTTTCCATGAAAAATACGTTCTCATCTTGTGGTCTGTGTCCATAATATGAGCCGGAAACACTCTGAGGAGTCCTAAACGGACGTTGCATCCTCTCATGTTTCACTTTCCCCCTAATTCTCATTAAATACGTCCTGTTGATCATTATTGGACACACTGGTTCATGCTTCTTGCTAAATAGGTCTTTATTTTTACGCCAACAGAAGCAGTCATACTGTCTGAGGTGGAACAGATCATGGACTGTGTCTTGAAGAAACTGCCTTGCCAAGATGACCAACACAACTCAAAGCTGAGTACCTACCTGAGGTGAGTATGAAGTTTTCTATGTTCAGCAGCTGACCATGTACCAGGTCTACAGAGAGATCAGAACGAGTTGTCTGTAGTCTCTTCACAACAGTTGATGCAAAGGAGCATCATATAGCTGTAGAAAAGATCATATAACAGGTCACGACTCTGATGTAATTAGGTAATTAGGTGTATACATGAATAAGCATTGAGGCTCACTTATTGTTGTTCCTCAGGGTTATTCTTACCAAACAGTCTTCTGACAAGATTTTCGGTGCTCTCGGTGCTCTCGGTACTTGTCCCACAGCTTTACGATGATCTATGAAATTATATATCTAAACGTGTGGCTTGATCAGGAATGGTTTGTTGTGACTTTTAGTCGTGACTCATGGTACGTTTTAATGAACTCTGGAAATAAAAATCCCCATTAAAATGAATAGGAAGTTGGCTGGAAAACTGACTAAACCAGTCATGTTTGGAGCCCTGCAGCTCCGGCAGATTTCACAGTAGACACTTCATTCAAAGCTTAAACATCTCATGAGGTTCTGAATGTTGTTCATATAAATCTGTTTGGTTTTTATGCAGCTGAAGTTTCAGGAATTTTTGTAAAATTTCAAATTTTCACTCAGCTAAAGTTGATGCTATGTGTGGAACGTTTGTGGAAGAAGTGCCGTTAACCTCATCTCTTACTGACTCCTATTACATCTGAGCTTTAAAATGGTGAAAACCAGAAACGGTGAGTGTCTCTGACCTGCCAGCAAATCTGTGCACAACACAGCACAGACATTAAATACATGAGAGTGTTCACAGCTAGATTCTGCTTCTCAGCTGAAAGAATTTCTTTAATACAACTTATAGTTTTTGAGCTGGGACGGTTTGTTGGAGGGTCCGATCCTCAATCTGCTGTCTGCTCCTTGATCTGACCCAAACCCCTCCACTGAAAAAGAGGGAATCACCATAGCAACCAGTGACTGACAGCTGATTGGCTGACTGCTACTGGACTAAGAATGAAGGACTACAAACATGGCTGCCTCCATCAGCAATGTGTAATGTTAGAGTGGTTCTATCAGCAGGACAAATCAACACAGCTGTGATGCGAGTTCTAAGAGGTTCTAACATGCTCTAGCTTGTCCCACCATCCTTCATCCATTATGTGCTTAGTGGCTCCATATCTGTTGGGTCAAACTTTAAAATAAAAGTGTCTCCAGATGACCGTGTTCTCTGTCGCCTTGAGACCATCTCTCCACCCAGCTACATATTTCGTATCATGGTTAATCCATCAATACATGTGTGAGAGAGACAGAAAGAAGTACTGTCTAGTCAGCTCCTTTCAATACAGTCCATTCTCTTAACTTTTTTCCAGCTAGCTAGGGGCCTTTACCTCCAGAAGACCACATACGTGAACTTCCTTCCTTCAGCCTTGTTAGAGTTTTTAAAGAAAAAAAACAACATGAAGCTGCTGCAGATCCTTAAACTGTACGATTCACTGTAACCTTGTTTACAGTGAAGAGACTTTCTCTCCATCCAGTTACATATTTCCTACAGTCTTCCTGAAATTTATTCATACCTTTCCATTAAAGCCCATACATGCTCCAATTGCTCTCAAACTTCACATGTTGCGTCACACTCTCACCCTCATCACAGCCATATGACCACTCTCACTCACAACGCCACCTGGGGGCGTGGCCCCAACGCAAAATGCCAGACACGAGACGTGCTGTTAACTGGCCTGTGTGTGCTCGATTTTCCTGAAACTTTACGCACGTACTCCGAGTCTCAGCCAGAGCACGTTTCCACCCCGGCCAACACGCACGCCGCCACGGCTTGCCACTAAACAGGAAGTGGCTCGTAACTAGGCCACACGGGCTCCGATCTGCCCCAAACTCGACATGCTGGCTCAGAGTTCCGCCAGGAACACCCCGACGTGCGCGAAGGCCGACAAGCGTAGAGCGAGGACCCGTCCATCGCCGCTTGCGGCTTTAATTATTATTATTATTCCCGACAAAGAGACGCGTTTTTGAGGCCCTAAACATATTCGAAAACTCACCAAAATCGCCATGCACATCAGACCCGGTGAAAAATTTTATAATTTGGAAGAACAATACACACCTCAATAGAAAAATTGCTCCACAGCGCCACCTTCACAATTTCAACAGAGTCTTGTCAAAANCACATTTGGCCTAGAGCTACGCAATTTTGTAGGCATATAGAGCAGGTCAGGACGAATAAAAAAAGTCAGGCTGGGCCAAGTTGTAAAATGCAACACGGCTCAACGGCGCCCCCTACAATATTTCAACAGATTCCCATTGGGGCTATGTTTGATTTGCAACCACGACATTCACCACACATATGTAACAACTTGTGACGCACAAAAAAGTCCATTAAAATGTTTCTATAAACCCAACAGGAAATCTGCCATGTTGGAACAACGGCGAGCATGTCGGGCCATTTTTGGCCATTTTTCAGCAAAGGGTTCGTCGTACACACCTGAAATTTGGCAGGCACAAACTACAGGACGTGGTGATTAAAAGTTATCAAAACGCTCCGCAGATGAGGCCCGGTTTGGAAATGACGCCCTGTGCAATTTCGGTCAATGGCCATTTTGTCCATTTTCGCTGTGTTTTTGGCATTTATCACAGTCCTGTCGAAAGGCCGTTTCATCTACAGCTACAAGATTCGCTGGGCATGTGTAGCAGGTCAGGACACACAAAAAAGTCAATCAGCACCAAGTCCTAAACCCAACAGGAAGTCCGTCATTTTGAAAAGACACAGTAACAATTTTGGTGATTCTGGGTGACTTTTGCCCATTTTTGGCCATTTTCAAAATCTATCTCCTCCAAAGGGCATTTCCACCCCGGCCAACACGCACTCCGCCGCGGCTCGCCACTAAACAGGAAGTGGCTCATAACTAGGTCGCACGTGCTCCAATCTACCTGAAACTCGACATGCCGGATCACAATCCCACCGGGAACACGTTTGCGCCACAACCCGACGTGCGCGAAGGCCGACAAGCGTAGGGTGAGGACCCATCAAATGCCGCTTGCGGCTTTAATTATTAGGGTCCGAGCACCAAAAGGGTGCGAAGACCCTATTGGAACTGCTCGGATTATTATTATTATTTCTACGTCACAAAGAAACACGTTTTTGAGGTACACAACGTACTCACACACTCACCAAACTTGCCACACACACCAGACCCGGCGAAGAATTTTATAATTAGGGGGAAATACTCACCTCAATAGCAACATGGCTCAACAGCGCCCCCTACAAAATTACGAAAAATGGGCCCCCGAACACACTTTCACGTACAGCCACGAAATTCGGTACACACATGTAACAACTCGAGACACACAAAAAAGCCTCAAGAACACACACCCGAAATGCAAAAGGAAGCTGGCCATTTTGAAAATGATGGCAAATTTACCTCCTCTCCGGGGTAAGTCGTACACACCTGAAATTTGCCCAGCACAAACTACACGACGTGATGAGTAAAAGTTATCAAAATGCTCTGCAGATGAGGCCCGGTGTGGAAATGGCGGCCTGTCCAATTTTGATCAATGGCCATTTTGGCTGAAAATCGGCCATTTATGGCCGATTTTAAAATCTATCTCCTCCTAGGGGGTAAGTCGTACACACCTGAAATTTGGCAAGCAAAAACTACACGACGTGGTGATTAAAAGTTATTAAAACGCTCCGCAAAAGTCTTTTGGTTTAGAAATGGCGGCCCGTGCAAAATTGATCAAAGGCCATTTTGTTCATTTTTTTGGTGTTTTTGGCATTCAACGGAGTCCCGGCGGGCGGGCGTTTCACCTACAGCTACAAGATTCGGTGGGCGTGTGTAGCAGGTCGAGACGCACAAAAAAGTCAATTGGCGCCAAGCCCTAAACGCCACAGGAAGTCCGCCATTTTGAAAAAAAAACAAACGGTCAGAGTTTTGCAATTTTGGCAAATTTTTGGCCATTTTTAGCCATTTTCAAAACCTATCTCCTCCTACGGGGAACATCACAGTTGGAATTTGGCCAGCACAAACTACACGACGTGGTGATTAAAAGTTATTAAAACGCTCCGCAAAAGTCTAACGGTTTGGAAATGGGCTGTAATCCTGATGCCAATGTATTGCTGTGATGCAGTTAACACACTCAGTGGGACCTGAGCTGAGTGTAGACTAAACGTCGGTGATCAGTGCATGTCTCCACTCTTGCTCGCTCTCCCTTTAACATGTCCAAACGATCTCAGCTCTCTGAGTCACAGATCACTATCTTGGCTTAGGCCACTCACACCACAAGGTTGGCTTAGCATGAAGCTAATTAAATTCCACATGGTTGGTTGTGTGCAAGGAAGTGTACACCTCTGCATTGATGCCATTCCTCATCCCCTGAAACGGTGTGACTGTGTGGTTTTTCCAACTACGGCAAACAGACAGGGACATTTTTGTGTGGCTTGTGGAGTTTCTTTGCTTTAAAAGATGACAATGATAAGTGTGTTTGGGTCACAAACTTACACTCTTATTCAGAGAGAGCCCACAGTCTTGCATGGACTGTTTCATGATGCCTGCATGTACCAGAGAAGCCCAGTTTGTGGGGTAGAGTGTGCAGGGTTCCTGTTTTTCTGGACTTCACAGAGCAAAAATGAGAAAAGAGATGGAGGCCACTAAAGAAAAAAGGGAGTGTTCAGGGCCTTGGCAAGGCACCCAGACCACCCTCACTGTGGAGTCCACAGCAGTCCAGCCTTATACTGGTTTTCTTTCTACTCCCACTCCAGGGGTGGAGATGGCCGAGTACGAAGAAGAGCAAGAGGATGTCGATGGAGATGCCGTCTTCTCTTCCAAAGAGAATGAACTGGGCAGCAATTTCAAAAAGATTATTGGCAGATTAACCGGTGTTCTCAGTGTTGCCTGCCCTGAAAACCTCATGGAGCCCCCTGTTCCTACCGGGTTGAGGATGGTGTGGGGGTGCACCTCTACACCAGCTCAGGTGTTTTTCCTGAAGCTTGGTGTGTAAACAATTTAATACATCAGCAGC